AGAGAGAGAGAGAGAGAGAGAGAGAGAGAGAGAGAGAGAGAGAGGGAGGGAGGAAGAAGATAATAAATTTTTATAAATTTTTGTTAGAATTTTTACAAATTTAATAATATAGTGTGTTGTTTGGTTGATAAGAAAATTAGAAACTTTCCTGCAACATTTCAAACCCAACTCCATGTCTAAAAGAAAGAAAAGGTCAATCAGAACAACAAGAGGGAGAAAGGAAAGCAGAGATAGCAAGAAAGGGCTGGGCTAGTGCATCTGGAGTTAATGAATTAAGTAACAGAAAGTGAATGTGTGTGACAGAGTGTGTGATGGGAGAGGGTAAATGTATCATGGTCCTTGAAACTTTATAGTAAATTCAAATACTTGATTTAGGCAATTATTATACAAGGATATTTGTTCATAACTATGAAAGTTTAAATCTTGTAGAACTTGAGAATTCTATTAGGTGTGATATTTAAATATGGAAACCCAATATTCAACCAAGGAAATATATTAAAGATGAAATTAAATATTTGTGAAAAGGAATGTGTAGCTCTTTTTAAGAATTTCTTTTCAAGTATAAATATAAACACTTTAAGCTTGAATATATTGAAAATCATAATTTAAAAACTTGAATTCCAAACTTTTACTTTACATATAATTTTGGTAATTATTAAAAATTAAGAACAACTTGTCGAATCAGAGTGTTCAAATAATTTTCCTCATTTTTTATATATTTTAAGGGAGACAATGACAACGTACTATTTTTTTTTTCTAGTTAAGCTTATCATTATTTCTTAATTTTAATTATTCACCACATTATAAAGAAATTCATTCTTTATCTTTATTTCCTTTTTAGGGATATGTAAAAATATAAATCATTCATAAATCCTTAATGAAACAATAAAATACAAAATGTTTATTATTCAAAGATAGGGTGAGTACTGACTAATAATCTACACCATTCACTGTTATTTTTATTTTTAATTTGTTTATCTTAAGTTACATAGTATATAGAAGGTAACTTTTTTCTATCACTTTCTTAATTACCCATTTATTGTTAATTAGTACTTCAAAAATTAGTGCATAATTTCTATTATATACAACTTTGCTAGGAATATTTGGTTTAATTTCTTTTATTATTAGTTAATTTGACAAACAGTTAACTTGAGTTTAAGTAAATTCATATTTTTCATATCTATGAATGTTTCAGTACATATAGAATAGAGTTAAAATTGAAATTTTATCATAAATTATTATTTAAAAATAAATCTTTGTAAAATATTTTATAAGTTAATATTATTGAAAATTTGTCATATGGTATAAATATTGTAATTTATATAATATTTGAATATGATACAAAAAATTTTTTGAGCCCCTCTAAATTGTTGTTCATCCTTCGTTCCTATCTTAATCTACTCCACTTGTATTTTTTTTTTTGAACAGCCAAGAAATTCATATTGATAACCTGAGTACAAGGGGTACTCAAACCCATTTCCATGAACAAATTACAATCCCTTCGTTGTTACTACCCTCTTTCAAACATTTCCTACTTTGCTTTACTAAGGCAAGAAGCAGGATTAATTAACCAATCTAATAGATTGAAGTAACACTTGGGTTTCCTAGCTTTGATCCAAGCAAAATACCTTAATTGAATAAGTTCAAAAAGTTTAATCAAGTTTACCTCCGCATTGTCAAAAATCTTTTTGTTGCACGCCGTCTACACTATCCATAACATTGCATTCCATATACAGTCCCACCCTTCCTTTTTGTGTGGCTTTTTGGTCCATGCCCCAAAGTGTTGACATGTTGGCCTGCATTCTTTTTGCAAAACTATTGTGATTCCCCACCACTTTGCACAAGCTTTCCACAGCCAGTTAGCTACGTTGCAGTTCAAGAACAAATGGCTTGAGTCTTCCTCCTCTTCCTTACACAAAACGCATTTCTTTTCTTCCAAGTCTTTTATGATTCCCCGTTTGAACAAATTAATCCTAGATGGGATTCTGTCAATTAGTACCTTCTAGTTGAATGCAGCTACTTTCGTTGGGATGGTTGGATTCCATACTCTCTTGAACATTTTCTCCTCCCCGTCATCCCTCCTTTGTTTTGCTAGTATTGCATAGGCTGTTGTCGTTGAGTATTGTCCATCTATGCTGTGGATCCACTCCCATCTGTCTGCACAACCTAGGGAGATTTTAACTTCGTCGATTGTCTTCTACAATTCCTTTTCAGCCTCCTCCTCCCATTGGAACAGGGCCCTTCTCCACGTCATGTTCCACTTCCATGTACCGTTGTGATCCTCTCCCATTTGCTAGCAATCTTTTTCCTTCCCTGTTGACAAGACATACAATCTAGGATATATATTCGCTAGGCAGTTCTCTTTACACCACTCATCCCACCAAAAACTCACTCCTTTCCCTTCACCTATCTTAATCCTAAATCCCTCTGTCAACCATCTCTCATTCTCGTCCCCCCCGACATTGAGACTTTGTATGTCTCTCCACCAAAGTGATCCTACTCTTCTTCTGTCTCTCACCCAGCCCAAATCTACTCCACTTGTATATTATATGATTTAAATTTAAATTCTCTTACTTTTATTAAAAAGAGATTACCATTGAAATATTTAAGTTATTAACTAGTTCATTGTGATTTAGTTGTACTACTTTATTTGATAGTTACCAAGAAACTTAGGCTCCATTTAATGTGCGTTTAGTTTTTAATTTTGATTTTTTAATTTTGCTTGCAAAAATTCAAAAAAAAAATCAAAATTGGTAATTGAAATTAAAATTATAAATTAAAAATACCAACTTATTGAGAATAAATTTTAAAAAAAATTAATTTATTTTATAAAATATTAATTAATTTATAAAATATTTTAAATTTATTATAAGGTTTCTAATTTTATAAAAATCAAAATTAAAAACTAATAATCACACAATCATATTAAGGACTATTTTGGTATAGTAGTTTGGAAATAACATTTAATGATTTTACCCAAACTGTGAATAAATATTTAGTAAATTTGTTTATTTTAAATAGTTATAAACTAAGTATTTGATAAATATTTTTTAATAGTTTAAAATTAATAGATATTGCCCAAATTATTGGCAGATTGAAAAATGGTGGCTTGCATCAATTACCATTTGGGATGAGGCATCCACATAAAAGACTAGTTCTACCGTGTTAGTAGATTTGCCAGCCATTTACACCCACTTCACATTACAACCGAAATTTTGCCCTTTTTTTTATTTAAATATGTGAACTTTGTTAATTTTTAAATGGAGAGATAATTTTTTAATTTTTTATTTAAAAATATTAATTTTACATTTTTTTCTATTTAAGAATTAATTTGGCAAAAATGGTATATTAGCTTATATACTTTTCGAGATACTTGAAATCTATCTCCTACTTTTGTTTAAAAATTTTCAACTTACATACTTTTAAATTAAAATAAATCAACTTACATATTTTTTTATTAAAATAAATCAATCGAAAATTTAATAGATAATGTCATGTCACATCACATTTCCATGAAATTTATTTCAACCTCTTTATGCTATAAAATAAATTAACCCATATACTTTTCCAGTTATTTGAAATCCATCCCTTCCCTTTTTTTTTGAAAATTTTCAACCCATGAACTTTTTAATTAAAATCAATCAATCCAAATTTCTATGAAATCATGCATGGGTCTTATTTTTTGTGATCTAGACTATTTTTAATCTTTACTAAACATATGTTGATGACATGACAATAAAAATGTATTCTTTTAATTTTTTTATTTAATAACAAAAATACCATTCCATTCTCTATTTTTAAATTAGGAATTTGGGACTTGAGGTTTCAAGTTTGGTTACACCTTTCTAATATTGTCGTATTCTTCTTAGTACAATCATTTCAATTAAACATCAACTTTACGTGATGTCAAATTGTGAGGTACTTGAATTGCCCACTTTAAAACTGGCATAGTCTTGTTGAACCTCCCTAAACTATAGTAGATTATGGCAAGCATGTGCAAGCTTATGACAAGATCCAAGCTGGGTTGGGCTTCAACTTGGCATCTCTAGAAGGATTTGGCTTCCCAAATGGCATAATCTAAACCTTCAATGGGACCCTCACTAGATGTAGTGGTACCTAATTTTTGGGATTTTAAAGGAGAAGATTTAGGACTTGTGGAGACAGCAACATGGAAAACCAAATCAAACCCTAGGTCCCAAAAAATGATCATGAAGGAAATAGAAGGGTATTTTTGTCATTGAACAAAAAGATTAAAAGAATTTATTTTTGTTGTCATGTTATCTATAGATATCTAGCTGGGATTAAAAATGATCCATGTCAGAAAAATGGGACTCACGCATGGCAAATCATCAAGACATAACGAGCCTGAAATGAATTTTCTTGAAAATGTGACATGGCATGATATCATCTATTAAATTTGGGCTAATTTATTTCAATAGAAAAGAATGTGGGTTGATTTATTTTAATATGAAAGGACATTAGTTAAAAATTTTCAAAAAAAAAAAAAGTAGAAGGATGGGTTTCAAATTGCTCGAAAAGTATGTGGGTTAATTTATTTTATGACATAATGGGTTTGAAATGGATTTCATAGAAATATGATGTGGCATCATGTAATTTGTTAAATTTGACCTATAATTTATTTCAATTGAAAAGTATCTGAGTTAATTTATTTGAATATTAAAATATGTGGGTTGAAAATTTTCAAAAAAAGTAGAGGGGTGAATTTTAAGTAACTCAAAAAGGAAATGGACTAATATACTCTTTTCACCAAATTAATTTGAATGATGATATTGATGTATCAAATGGTTTTTTTAATCATCTAATTAATCATTAAATAAAAAATATGTAAAGTTAGTATCCTTAAATAGGAAAAGCCACAAAATTGACATATTTAAATAGAAAAAATTAAGTAAAACTCTCAAATTTATCTCTTAAATAGGAAGATATGGATATATTCACTTTTCAAAAAAAAAAAAGCTTGAACAAATTACTCTTCTAAATTATCAATTAAGATAAATTACTTATTATTTGATGTGTGACCTCATTATATATCAAAAATTCATTTGCTGTTTATGTATTTTTTAATGGAAAATTGAGATGTGATAATATTACATATTAAATAATGAGTAATTTGTATTAATTCATAATTTAAAAAATAAAAGGTGGATTTGTTTTTGCTTTTCTATTTGAGAAGCACATTTGGGGTTTTACCAAAAAGTTAAGTTTACTAATCCTATTTAAAAATTAATAAAATTCACATTTTAAAATAAAAAATAATAAAATTCGCATACTTATCTATACCTTTTTCTCATATATGCCTTGCTCCTATCTAGTTTTAGAAAAAAAATGATTAAAAGATAATATTTTTATATAATTTTATATATTATTGAATAATTTTTTTTACTGCATTAAAATTTATAATATTATATATATTAATTTATTATTTAATATTATATAAATATTATAAAAAAAATTATATTTATAAGATTTTCGCTGCTTTATCACCCACGTCAAAGAATTGAGGTGGGTAGTTAAGTCGTTGAGGAGGAATCGAACAATTTGAGAGCAATAGCAGCGTATGTTCCCCAATAAAACGTTGCGTTTTGAGTAGCTAGCATTAGGGTGGTACATTACTTTGCTATGAGTTGTACGCCAGAGGGTATAAATGGAATTCCATTCAAAATTATACTACAACCGAAAATTCTCTCGTCTCTCCGTAATCTCTCAATTTCTTCCTCTTGTTACCCTAGCTCTTCAGAGACTTCAATTATTTCATTTCTCTTCTTCCCCTCCGAACACCTCGTCTGCAATCCCGACGGGGAGGAAGTAGGGTGCAACGCACTTTGGTACCGAAGTTCAATCACCTAGTGGAGAGATCCGTACAATAAATCCATTTATGTACGGTGGAGCTCTCTTACTTGACAACTTGTAGTTTTGCCTTGTTGTGGATTGAGTAGTGGTGGATATGGTGAAATGATAGATGAGAATTTGATAAGTACTGGTTTTAATTTGTAATGTTTTTGTTACAAGCTTTCTGGGGGGAATTTGGGGAAAGTGCAATATGTCTGAATATGCTCAGCTTGTGTTTGATGAAATGCGTGAAAGAGACTTGGCAAACAGATGAGTTGCAATTGGCTGGAGTTAGTCCGTGAGGGAAGAGAATGAGCCTCCAGGCCCTCCACTCCTCCTTTTTTGGGGTTCCACTTCAGAGCTCTTTGAAGTGTAGAAGCAATGTAAGTTACTTTTATTTGGATAGAGGACATCTCAGTAGAAGGGTCACACGTAAACGTATATGTGTAGAGAAGAAAAATGATTGGATAGCTCAAGCGATTAAATTTTCACATTTTTGTGGGAAAAATGTTGAGTTATTTAGGAAGAGTATTGGGTTGAGAAGTGGGTTTGTGGTTAATTCTGTGAAAGAACCTTTTGCAAAAAGCAAGGCTCTGGTGATGTCTCTGTCTCCTTTGTGGAAAGAGGGGTTACTGTTGGTTAGATGTTGTGTTTTTACAGCTGTGATATCTGGTGTGTGCTTATTGGTGTGGTATGCACAGAAAAAAACCAAAGATTTTATTGAAGCTAAGCTTTTGCCTTCAGTTTGTTCAGTACTCAGTGAATACCTACAGCGTGAGGTTGACTTTGGTAAGGTTAGAAGAGTTTCACCATTGAGTATCACATTAGAATCATGCTCGATTGGGCCTCATAGTGAAGAATTTTCTTGTGGTGAGGTCCCATCAATGAAAATTCGTGTTCTGCCCTTTGCAAGTCTGAGGAGGGGGAAGATTGTAATTGATGCAGTTTTGTCTCATCCAAGTGTCTTGGTTGCGCAGAAAAAAGATTATACTTGGTTAGGGATACCCTACTCAGAAGTTAGTCTCCAAAGGCACTTATCAACTGAAGAAGGGATTGATTACCGTACAAAAAGCAGGAGGCTTGCCCGAGAGGAAGCTGCCACTTGTTGGGACAGAGATAGGGATAATGATGCTAGGAAAGCAGCTGAGGTTGGTTATTTTGTTTCTGAAAGAAGTTCTGGTAGATCTGAAGACGATATATTGATGGGGACATGGTCTTTAGGTGATTCAACAAACTCAAAATCCTTTTCATGCATGGATGAGGACATGCATTTGAGAGATCATCATTGCATGGACACAGGTGTTGATTATGATATGAAGCATGCGGATTTGGAGAAATCATTTGGTGTAAAAGTTCCAGGTTCTGGGCTTAAATTTTGGTCAAAAGTGATAAAAGGGCCTAGAAAGAACAAATTTAAGAAGAAGTACAATATAAGTGATACCTCTGCGGCTGGTGTTACTGCCAAAAGAAGAATCCTTGAGCGTAGTGCTTCATCAGCGCTTGCCTATTTCCAGTTTCTATCTCGAGAGGAGTCTGGTGAGTCTTCTGAGTCATCTGGAAGTTATGATGTATTTAACACCCTCTTCAAGAAAAGTGAAGTTGATTCTACCTACACTTCTATTGACACTAAGGGCAGTAAAGAACATTTTCTCAGTGATATCCAGAATGAAAAACATAATGAAGAGAGAAAAATCCAGTCCATCCCCACGAAGCCTGGTGTTAATGACAATTTAAGGAATTTAAATTTTGTTAGTGACCCCTTTCTTATGACTATTGCAAGACTTAGTAGAGTTACAAATGTTGGCGAAAATTTTCCATTTGTTGGAAATGTTGGAGAAGCTTCTATGATCAAGTCTAATGTTGAAGGTGTGGAATCTGTTGTTGATGATGTAAATGGAATTGGGGATGAAAATTTATCTGAGGGTGAAATAAGTCATGTGTCTGAATTTTTGACATCAACAAAGTCTGAGCCTACTCCTCCTGCAGCATACCATTCAGATATGGTTTGGCACTTGAATTTAAAATCTGGCTTGCTTTCTATTTCTGAAAATGTGAGGAAACTATTTCCTAACTTTTTAGCTGTTCCCCTTCAAAAACTGAATTCTGGTGTGGGACCAAAGGTGGAAGATATTGTTGCAGAACTAGTTGATGGTGTCGAAGTTGTGCAGACGGAGGGAATTGAGAAGATGCTTCCAGTTACAGTGGATTCTGTCCATTTCAAGGGTGGGACACTGATGCTGCTTGCATTTGGTGACAGGGAGGCTCGGTGCGAACCTCTTTCTCTCTCTCTCTCTCTCTCTCTCTCTCTCCCCCCCTCTCCCTGTGTGTTTGTGTCTTTTTTTTTTTCTTTTTTCTTTTTTTTTGGCAAAGATTTTAACAATTTGCAGTCAATTTTAATTTTCAATTAATTTTGACACTATGCAATGTAGGCTGGAGATGCAAATTTTTCATACTTTTGTTATGCATGACATTCTATAATTGGGTTGTTTGGATGTCTGAATGTTTCTTATTGTTCCTAGTTGGAAATGTAATGCAAAAAGCATGGGTTTCCTCATTAATGCTAACTATGAAGAAAAGGGGCAAACAAGAAGGTTTAAGTATTTGTTATGTGTATTTGTGATAAAGTAGGAAAACATTAGCATATCCACTAGTTTTGTTCTAAAATTCTGTAAGCATTACTAAAGTAAGTTGAACAATTGTGCATAGATATGTTTATGGCAGTGCTCATAGTGAAAAGCATGGGTAGCATCCTTCCCTCCATTTCTTTCCCTTCATTTGTATAGCTCTATCTAGTATTTAGCATGTAAAACAAAGGAGATGACTTTAGGCAGCCAGAGGTAAATTGCTAGTAATATGGTTCTTGATCAAGGAATTTGAAAATTTTAAGGGTTCAATATACCAATTTTCAATTCCACAAGTAACGGAGGTTCGTAGGTATCACATTGATACTTGTTAATGAGAAGCAAGGGCCAATATTTTTATCTTTCTTTCCTGGGGCTGGCATTGATGGTATTTAGTGCAAAGCTGGCTATTGTTTATATGCTTGTTGCATAATTTCAAATTCCAAATGATAGATAAGCCCTACCACTTAAATGTTGTTCTATCTCTATTGCAGGGGTTTTAGTTGACTGTTTTAATCATAGGTCATAATATTAGTTTGATGCATTCCATCAGCTTGTGTAGATGCGTGTTGCTAAGTTTACATGTGTTGTATGTCTATGTGCAAGACTGCATGTACAATTTATTTTTTTCCTCCTCTTCATGTGCCATGGATATCTACTAAATTATGGTAAATAAGAGATCACTTTAAGGCTTCTTTGTGTATCTCCCCCTTTCCTTCTTTTGATTGGTGGGTCATGGTATGGGATGTGATCCTCTCCTGTTTTCAATCTTATTCCAGATTTCCAGTGCCATGGGCCATGGCTTGAACATATGACCTCTAACTTCCTAAGGAAGGAAATTACCACTAGGCTATTGTGTCATTGGCTGTGCTTCATACTCTTACTGGCTATTGAAAGAAATTGTACTTGTCTGCTTTTGATAATAGGGATGGCTGATGATATGGCTTTTGCTTGGAATAATGTTCTCTTTGGTTTCTTTTTAATCAGACCCTGAGAAACAAGAAAAAAGTTGGTAATAAGAGATGCTATATGTTTTAATATATTATCTAAAATTTCAAATTATTTTATGTAGTGAGATGGAGAATGCCAATGGATATGTGAAATTCCAAAACCATTATGGACGTGTGCATGTACAACTCAGTGGAAACTGTAATACGTGGAGATCAGATACGTCTGAAGATGGTGGCTGGTTGTCTACTGATGTTTTTGTCGACACTTTAGAGCAGAATTGGCATGCAAATTTAAAAATTTCCAACCTCTTTGTCCCGGTAAGGTATAAAATGAATAAGATCCTTGTATGTTTTCTATGTTTCATGGGTTTTACATTTGTAGTTTCTGCTTTTCTTCTACAGCTTTTTGAAAGGATCTTAGAAATTCCAATAGCATGGTCAAAAGGGAGAGCCAGCGGTGAGGTGCTTTTCTGACTTCAATTTGATTTTGCCTTTTCATTTTAATTTTCTAAAATGACTTCAGAAATATTGTTTGACGTTTTAAATTTACAGCTCTTATTCAATTTATTCCACACACATTCCATTCTCATCTAATGTTTAATTATTGATTAATTCTCTCCTCCCATCACCTCACTTGTTCGCCAATCTGATTACCTCTTTTTCCACATGGAATATGTTCTTGTTTTTTTATAAGCAATCCAGTCTCAGCTAAAAGTTTCTGGTGATTGGTGCTCTCCTCTCCTCTACCTTGCCCCTCCACTCTAGTTACCTATTTTCAAAAGAAATTTACTAGTCCTTGATTTGAATTTTAACTTCTGATAAAATAAATGACTTTTCTTGCTAGTCTATATTGTGGTTAACCATTTTTTATTGGTAGGTTCACTTGTGCATGTCAAGAGGGGAGACATTTCCTAATCTTCATGGACAGCTTGATGTGACAGGGTTGGCATTTCAAATATATGATTCACCATCAAGTTTTTCAGTATGTCCATGTTCCAGCTCCTCTGTAATACTAATGTGCCTGTTCATCAAGATATTTCTTGCAGCATGTCATTTATTTTAATAGCAATATTATTTTTCTGCCTCGGCACATGACTTCTTTCATTAATCTTGTTTTCACCAAAAGTAACAGTGGTAGGTTGTGGCTAGGTAGCATTTTTGGTGACATGATGCTCAGGGATTATTTTAGTGCTTTAGTTTTTTCTTAGGTTTTTGCAGATACTGTATATCTGATATCTCCGTAAATAAGATTCTGGCATGAAGTAAATTATCATGGAGCAGTATAATGTCTTTAATCTAATATTTCAAGCTACATACATTTGGTAAGGATAAGTGGATTTTCAAAGTCACTTGTCGGTGTGGATGTAAAGGGTTGACGGGAGAGGGAGGAAAGAGATCCATGTAGTTCCTCACTAAGGAACTCAAACAAGGAAATGGATCAGCTATTGAAAAATAATTTAAAGATCAAATTTTTTATTTTTCTTCTCCAGTGGAGTGAATTGGAAACATGAGGCTCCATTTCCTGAGGACAATATGGTAACCTACATAATTTTTATGGTGCCTAATAATTGTCATAAGGGCTACATATCAGACTGGTGTTGTCTTTATACCTGAGTTATTGTAATAAAGGCTTCATTATGTTGATTTGTATATCATTTGCATATTTTGCTTGAACAACACTTCCATTTTTGCTACAGGCTGTTGTGATTGTTTCAAATTGTCATAGCGGAATTGATTGCTTCACTGCTTTCCTTATTCTGTTTTTTATCTTCATTAACCACTTCAGATTTGTATTGATACATCTAAATTTATACTACACTTAGTTTAAGAGCAGAATCTTGTTAGCAGTATAATTGTTTATATTATCATGTCTCTTGCAGGAAATTTCAGTGAGTTTATGTTTTCGAGGTCAGCGAATATTTCTGCACAATGCAAGCGGCTGGTACGGCAGTGTTCCCTTAGAAGCTTCTGGAGATTTTGGCATTCATCCCGAGGAAGGGGAGTTCCATCTCATGTGCCAGGTATTACCTTGTCAAATTGCAAACACTTATCATTTTGTTTTCAATTTGAATAAGTAATTAAACAGTTAATTTCATGGGAGTTTTCTTAGACTATTGAAAAGGGATTTTTTTATGAAACTGATGCAATGTCTTGCCAATAATAAAAATAGAATAAATCATAAAAACTTCCCCAAGTTTCGGCATAAACTACACTTTAATTAGAATTTATGAAAAATGGACACTCTCCCATGAAAATTGAAGACCATTGGCAATTTCTACAAAAAAGATGATGCCATCATGGTAAAGGCATTTTTTATATTTTATACCCATAAATAGGGGTTTAATTGAGAAATTTTTTGTCATTTTATACCCTTACTGTGATGACATCTTCCTACTCAAATGGATTACTAACAGTGTTAGATTCTTAGGGGAAAAGTGTAACTCTAACAATTGCAAGTCTGGACTAAAGTGTGTAGTTCAATGTATGCAAAAAAGAGGGGGGGGGGGGGGGGGGGGGGGTTGAAATTTACTTAAAAAAAATATTTAGATAGCTTATATAAGTTTTTGTTGTTGGATTATGTTTTATTTAACATTTAAGGTACTTGGCCAGTTGATCAATATAAATATTCTTTGTTTATTATATAATTAACAATGAATAAAATATGAGGAAGTCTTCTGTCAATAGAGAAGTGTTTCCTTCCATCATTGATGAATCTTACATTGCCGTACATCATCTACGAAATCTGTCTTTATTGTTTGTTGTTGGATAGTTTTTACTTTTTAGTGTTGGATTAGGTTTTTTTTAATATGTAAGATACTTGGTCAGTCAATCAATATAAATATTCTTTGTTTCTTATTCGATCATTAATGATGAATGCTATAATAGGAAGTGAGCACCCACAAATAAATAAGCATGCATGCTTCAAAACCCACAAATATCTAGGTGTGCATGCCTCAAAATTAAGAAAAGAACTTTGGACTACTCAGAATCTCATTAATCAAAAGCCTCCAACACTGAGGGACAGCTTGGTTGATAAAGGGGTTCTTTCCTAATCTTGTTGACTAGGTTGGATACCTGGGAGATGGTAAATATGTAATATTTCACTTAGAACCTCCAATCAGCAATGCTTTACATCAAGCAGAAATATTTGCATTTTAGTTTGATTAAGATTATGGAGATGTCCCATCAAAAAAAAAAAAAAAAAAAAAAAAAAAAAAAAAAAAAGAATTATGAAGATGCATTATTGATACTGTTAGCCATCATTTTTATAGACACTGCAGCAGATAGGCAAAATATGAATCGATAACGGAAATGCAAGCGTGTTTAATTTCTTCTGTTTTTTTCCTTTTCAATTACTTATGTGTATGGCCCAAAAAAAATGACAGTATGTATAAATATACTTTCAAAGTTTCATCTGTCCTCTTCAGCCTGAATTCATAGTTTCCAATTCAAGGCACTTCCTCTAGGCTTTAACTGGCAGCTTGTTAGTAGCTTCTTTGTTTTTTATGGGGGTGTGTAACTTTTTTGTTTTTCATGACTAATTCCAGGTTCCCTGTGTAGAAGTAAATTCTCTGATGAAAACTTTCAAGATGAAGCCCTTGTTATTCCCGGTATGCATATTTTTGAGAATTTATCATCAACATTACTATTGTTTCCGATATTTATTTCTCTCATTAAGTAGATGCTATTTCATTGGTAAGATGTTACTTCCATTGATTGGATGTAACCAACCCAGCTCTTTTTCTTTCTCCCAAAAGCATGAAAATGTAAATTCATGTTGTTTATTTTCTATTTTAATCTACACTTATTTTCTTTCTATATTGTCTGTAGTTGGCTGGTTTTGTGACTGCAGTGTTCAACTGTCAAGGGCCCCTGGATGCTCCTATATTTGTGGGGAGTGGGATGGTTTCTAGAAAGATATCTTATGCTGTTTCTGATGTCCCTGCATCCTCTGCCTCAGAGGCAATGTTGAAAAACAAAGAGGCTGGTGCAGTTGCAGCATTTGATCGCATTCCATTTTCCTACCTATCTGCTAATTTTACCTTTAACACTGATAATTGTGTAAGTCTGTTTTCAGTTATAGATGATGCCTTTATTCAAAAGACGTGACTGTTCTTGTAGCTTCATATTTTTCAACTCATGTAAAATTCATTTCATGTTTAATAGGTTGCTGATTTGTATGGAATTAGAGCTAGCCTTGTGGATGGTGGGGAAATACGGGGGGCAGGAAACACATGGATTTGTCCAGAGGTGCATCATTCTCTCTTCTCTGACCAATAAGCTGGGCATCTATTCTGTTTCCTATGTTTTATACTGCTTCTGAAAGAACTCTTGACTGTGGTTGGATTATCATCTTATTCAGTCCTTTCTTCGAGTTGTCTTGCTTTACATAATTGTGCTTGCTTTCCATCAACGCCTGATTGCTTTTCCCAGATCTTTTCTTATTGAATGTGATGCTTTGTTGTAGAGCTTGGTTCATGAATTTTCCATGCTGTGATTGTTTTCTCTGAGCATGTTACTTCTTTTTTTTTTTTTTCCTTGTTGCTTTCATGATGTAGGAGTCATGTCTATTCAGCCTATGAAGATTAAGAAAATTAGAGTTTTGGGGGGATCCAGGGTTTGGGCTTTAAGTTTTGCAGTTGCTGGAAATATGTGTGGTTCAAATCCACCACATGGGACAGAGTGTTCAGTGTCAGTTGAGTTATTTCATGGGATTTGAATCTTAGGTGAGGGATTCGAATCCCCAAGTCTGTATGTGAGTTTTAAGTCCACTTATCATATTAATATAAGAAGTGGTTGGCACACTAAACAGGGTGTGGCCACGTATTCAACCATTTTTCTCTTATATTACTTTCTTAAAACAGTTGTGTAAACAATTTAGTTTGAATAGTTGACTTCACATTTGGTTTCTTGGGTTTAAGTAAAATAATGGCTGGCACCAATGATATTCAGCTGTCAACCATAATCTGAGTTGCTGTAGCAATAGAAAGAGGAGAATAAGCAAGAAAAAGATCAAGCATAAACCTGGAAAGTCCTGGAATCTACTCTATTAGCTTTTAAAGTACAAAGAAATATCAGTAGGCATCAATTATTAATCCAAATTGGATTGAGGACCATAAGCCCAACCAAGTAGGTCTCCATTAAAGACTTATTAAACCTAAGTTGATTCTAATAAGATCCCGCTATGGATTTGAATAAAGAAGCAGGAGGATTATTGTACAGCATCATTGAACTGAAAGGTTACTTAATTCTCTGTGCTTATGCATAATACCCAATTTTACAGGGTGAGGTGGATGATACAGCTATAGATGTTAATTTCTCTGGAAATTTGTCCTTCGACAAGATCGTGCAACGATATATACCAGGTGATCTTCATCTAATGCCACTCAAATTAGGTGATTTAAGTGGAGAAACAAAAGTTTCTGGATCACTTTTGAGACCGTAAGCTTCATGAGCCCTTTTTTATATGTTTTTGGGTTCATTTATGGATATATATATATATAATACAAATTTTATTATTGCTTTTGCTTTTGCTTCTAGGAGGTTTGATATCAAGTGGACTGCACCACAAGCTGAAGGGTCGTTGAGTGATGCTCGGGGAGATATGGTGATTTCACATGATTATCTAACCATAGGCTCTTCATCTGTTGCTTTTGATTTGTTTACAAAAATTCAAACTTCATATCCTGAGGAATACTTGCTAAACAAAAATGAGTTTTATGAGAAGGGCACCTGGCCATTTACTGTTGAAGGAGTTGAGTTGGACATGCGTATGCGTGGATTTGAGTTTTTCAGCTTGGTATCTTCTTATCCTTTTGATTCACCACGACCTACACATTTGAAAGCAACTGGAAAAATCAAATTTCACGGGAAGGTTTTTAAGCCTTGTATTACTAGTGGGCAAGATTTTAGTCCTGACAAGAATACACAAGACATGCAAAGGATAGATGATGGAAGTTTGCAGAGTCTTGTTGGTGATATTTCAGTTTCAGGGCTCAGACTAAATCAGCTAATGCTGGCACCTCAGTTGGCTGGACAGTTGAGCATTTCACGTGATACAATCAAGGTACCACTTATAGTTCTTTTTTTTTTATTGGAAATAAACAGAAACAGGTTAATTCTAGGAAATTTCATTGTTTTGTTCAATTGGCCATTCCAAACTGTTTAAATTTAGAATACTGAAAGTTTGGCATGCTCAAATAATTTGCAGTATGATCCCTGTGCTGCAATGGTGCAGTTTTCTGTTTTGAAGCTTCCAATACATGCTGGTGTCTTGTCATATAAGCTAATAACTAACTTGCTATTTTTTTGATAATGCTTCAACCAGATCTGAACCATGAAAATTTTTAGAGATGAGTTGAAAGAAGAGTGCTTTTGTATAGTTCCCTTGGATGTGACAGTCAATCTAATTGTGTGTTTAAAATATGCTAGTTTTCATCTATTTTGAAATAAAAGTTGAGAACCTCAATTGTATCAACTACTGCATCAATATTCTGCTTAAGTATTTGGACTGTTTTGTATTTTTTGCCCCTTCCCTTTAATGAGCTAATTTGTTTTCAGTTTACGAGCTTGATCTTCAGTATAAACCTTGCTTTTCTTTTCCTTTTGAGTCTTTTATCAAGATTTATTTTCTCTTTTTTCTAGTAGACCGTTTTTCTTTTTATCTAGGTTTATTTTTTCTTTTTTTCCTAGTAGATTATCCTCTTTTCTTTAGCCAGCAGACTATTATCTTTAGAAACTTGAACTTCTTCTTCATGACTTCAATAAAATTCGAAGTTTTTACAGAATTATGCTGAAAATAACAGTGTTTTTTTACATAATCATGTTAAAAGACATTAGTTATTCACTTTCGTATGAAAGTGTTGAGTGTATCACCCTAACTCTATATTTTACTCTCTTTGTACGGGTAGGAGTACCCCTTGTACTCCAACTTAATAATACTATTTTTTG